TATATGCTTTATCATTAAGAATTGATAAGGAAGGTAACAGGTTATTTGCCAACGTTCCATGATCAGTTGAGGTACATGAAGCTAAATCTGGTAGGCATACAACAGTTTTATAGTGTAGTTAAAGTCCTAGTTATATTACTACCGCATAGAACCTTTATGAAATCACAAGTAACTCTTGTATTATCATTATAAAAATTACAAAATAAGAGTAAATATACCAAGCATTATGATTGCTACTGGGGGAAGTCTTGGCATATGGAGTTTAATTAGAGCAGCGTTTCTCAGTCTATGGGTCACGACCCAATGGTGGGTCTCAGGCTATCCTTAGGTGGCCGCAAGACTCCAGTTTTTCACAGTTTACGGAAAATTGTTCTGATTCTGAATATAAAATTATGACAACATATACATTTTCTTATGATGTATCAAACAGAATCATTCTTAAATGGGTTTGGTGTTGGTTGAGCAATTTCTTTTAAGCTCGCTACAATGGCCAGTGTTTCAAAACAGTTTGAGAATTTACATGCCCTTTACAGCAATTTGCATTGCTGTTTATGAGACAGGTTTTTTTTTGCTTTTCAATTATATAGAACTATTATAACTATAACTAACTATATTTGACCTAGGACATTTTGGCCTTTTAAAGCATTTTAGGAGCGATTCAAATATGACGTCCGCTCTTGAAGAAAGGAGGGGGTCCTGGAATGTATGACAGTACGTGTAATAGGTATGGGACAAAGCGTGACATAGGTGGGGAGGACGTTGGGTAAACAAATCTAAAACTTGTGGACCTTATATGTGTATCGCTCCTTAGGTCTTTCTTTAGCAACTTGTAGCGGCCCCGAGGCAGCTACGGTGCTGTTGTTTGTTCCCGATAGGTTTCATAAACGGATGGCTTAAGCGCCACCTCCGAAGAGGACCACCTGTCGTGTTTCACGATGCCCGGCTAGATACTGGCCAAATGTGCCAGTTCTCAAATTCGTCAACAGTGTCGGGAACAAGACCAACTGAGCCGAGTGACTCAAGAAAGGAGAGAGCATACCCACCGAAATCCCAAGATCCTAACTACCGAGTCAGCGGATGGTGGCTTGCTGGACGTTAGCCGGAGTGCCTTGGTAACGTAGGCAACTCCCTTCGGATAGGCAACCGGGAAGCTTTGATACCCGCGCTTGGTAAGGGTTGGCGACAATAAGCAAAGCCGCGGTGCGAGGCAGCGCTATTGATCAACGGTCGCTTTGTTGGCTGTTGAATCCTATAGAAAGCGAACACGCGGAAAGTCGTTGACCGTGCAAACGACACAATTAACCTATTATCGGCACACACAAATTTCGTAAATTGGTTTTACCATGCCGTTATCTGGAACGCTTACACAACTTCGCACAACAATTACAACACTATAATGCTATCTAGCTTTAGCCTATACGGGGAACATAGAATCGATTAAAATACATCTGAGGACACTTCACGTTTTCTACTACTAACCAATCACACCGCGGAAAAAACTACAGAATCGCGCCCTTCTTCTATCACAGTCAGGATCAAAGTGAAAGAGGCGATTACTGAATTTCCTCAGAAAAGTCCCAAGGCATGATTACCGGAAATGGAAGTTCAACGGATTTCATTAGTTACGATCGTGAGAGATCAAATGAAGTATCTCTTTCCCTCTTCAATCGAACTCGGTCTGTCTATCTTGTTCCCTTCTACTGCTAACAACTCTCAGAACTATCCCATTCGGTTTTCTCTATCCGAGTAACGAAAAATACGAATGGTGAAACTCTTCGGAGAAGCTACGTAAGCAATACGTTTCGCTAACCTCTTTACGCGTAGGTAACTGACTTGCATACAAGTTGCAAACTACAATTCGTTTCATTTAGCTTACTTTCAGTCCATTTAAGTTAATATTACAAATTGAACGACGATTAATTTAAGAATGGATATTTGAAAATAAATAAGAACAAGTAACAAAAATATAATCTAACGAAAATGTCTACCGTTACAAACTTTCGGTGGTTCGCTGGGCACTTTCTGAGATTGCCAGCTATTTTAGTATTTTAATAGAATTCCATGACATTTAGGATATTTTCAAGTTTTTTGGTCAATTTTGGAGATAATAAATTATTATTGATGCTTCAGGACTTTTCGACATTTTAAGGTCGTCAAGGTGTTGTCAAAGTTATTTGGTTTTCAAGCCACAATTTGAGGCCATTTCATCGTGTTCTGACATTTAACACTCAAGTGTTTTGATAGCTCCATTCAAGTTGTTAGACCATTTCTGGCTTTTTTGGAAATTATCAGATGAACTAGCCAAGTGCTAAAAATCTCAATAATAAAGTTATTAAAAAATGTGTTTGAGATTTTAACCTATTTTGAAGTTCTAATGGTAGGGGAAATGTCTCTAATGTTGGCCTACGGATCTAAGATTGGGCCCATCGGTAAAAATCTGCTATTTATCAATTTTATCTAGATGAACGCGTTATTGGGACGTTACTAATGGATATTGTCGATTGCTGAATTTATGTATGGGCCCAAATTAGGGACACTTAGGCCGACATTGCCTGCATTTCCCCTATGTCATGCATATAAACGGTTTTTGGAAGTCATTTACAGTAATTTTGTCGTTTCTAAGATCTAAGAAAAAATAATAATATTAATCGCTGCGTTAAATCACTCATAATTTTGAGCTCAACTTGACACAATCTGCGCATTTTTTACTAGGTTCTTTTCTTTTGTTCGGTACATAACTACTGTGACTATTAGATTGTATTAGGTTGATCTATTGTGAACACACTTGTTTTCATTGAGTGCATGTCGTTCTACATTGAAAGAGAAGAAGTAGTCGGTTTAGATACAGTTATCATTCCTGTTGTTCTCGCATGGAACAACTACTAATTAGAAGGTTATGATATTTTTATTTTTCGATGACATTGTAGCTCCCCGTCAAATGACACGCCTTTTTTGCAATTATACTTATAATTTTAGCCATGCATCTGAACCCGGGTCCTAACTTTTTTTTGTATCTTGTTTGGAATAGAAATAAAAACAGGGTCTCATAACAATCAAAGAAAGAATAGAACCTAGTAATGCACCCTCGAGAGACGATCTACTGGTGACACACAACTTAAATTGAAACGAATTATCGTATGAATTTACTCCAAATCTATCATCTATCTAGATGGGCATCTTTTTCTCTCTATGAAATTGCCCCATAACTTTTGATAAACGCCTAGTATCTGCGTAGCTATTCAGTGTACTGTGTTTTCATTTGTAAGAGGTGTGTAGCGACGGAAAAAATTCTAGAAGAAACTATTAGATGCTTCTTCCAGCAGCATCATTTAGAATATCAGTTGGCTGGTCTGCAAGATATGATTTGTTAAGGATTAGTTTAGATAAAAAGTAATTATTTAAATAAACGGGATGATTTCCGGTATTGCTGAAAAATTTAACCTGTCACCACAATTCGCAAGGATGATTCGGTGAGTTCTAATCTGAGAAAGATGAACGATAATTATTTTTCACTGTTTTCAAACTCAAGAAGAGTCATTCATGAAATAAGTCCTTCCGAACAAGTTGGAGGCGCCTCAGGCTGAAAGCCTCCTAAATAAAGATAAATCAATCAATCAATCCTTCCGAACAAAGATCATGAAACTGTGACAACCCTGCATTATCCCTTCATGTTGATAATTTGTAAGGTACCATTGTTCATATCAACAGTGAATGGAATTGCAAAGTAATATTGTTGGCAATTTGCAAAGCGAGTTCCTGCTGAAAGACTTAATTTATTTGTTAATATTGATTTTCCATAGCGTCAGTTTTGTCCCAAAACATTAATGAAGGGAAATAGTAATCCGAAATGCTGACAGTTTCGTATTTAAAATATTGAGCTGTTTGGTGATGTCTATCGAACATAGCCACACACACCTAATTAGGACCGATGAGTTTGTATGATGATAAGTTCAGAATCCGATGAACCGAATAAAATCTCTCTAGTGTAAAAGCTAACATCGCATAAAAGTGGCGGCCTTTTAAGGGATGGTCTATAAATAACAAAAAAAAATTAGGGTAAGGGGGGGGGGTCTGCAGAAGATATGAATGATCATGTATTAAGTATAGTAAAACACCTTACGAAGTAGGAGGGCGTTTTAAAATTGGTCAAAAATATGCTACGTCATTTATGGATGGACCGGCGCCGGTGGTGTAGTGGTAAGCATGACTGCTTTCTCACCCCAAAGGGTCTGGGTTCAATCCCAGCCGAAGTCGATGGGATTTTTCTGAAGCATAAATATCTCTGGTCATGTCTACCTTCGGAAGGGAAGTAAAGCCGTTGGTCCTGGCCCATGTGTGTTGAATGGGTGTGATATCCTACGCAGTTGTAAAAGCTGCCTTCCTGTACATCCGATTGCCGTCAATTGATGGCAATCTATGTCCATCGGTGATTGGCACTACATTGCGGAACAGAGACCGACGTTAATTAAAGGAAAAACTACATTTATGGATGGTCCCTAATGTTTGGAAAACTTATCGTGTCTTTAAAGAATTCACTTATTGTCGATCACTGCACAGTTTATGCCCGGGAGCGGAACATGCGAGCCAAATAATAAATTTTACCCCATTGATCACTATATGTTAACAAACAATCATCAATGAGAAAACATGGAAGCGTAACCAACGTGATTTTCGTTCAATAACCCTAAAATAACAGCTGCCTATGAAAGCTACGGTTTGCGGTATTTGCTTTTCAATGCTTTCAGCTCTTAATGTCAACTCTGGATTTCCAAAACCTGTTTCGTATGAATATATTAATGTGAAATCTTCTCTCCAAAAATCGAGTCTCATCAGTACCGTGTTATATCCGCTCATCGATTTCCAGTTTCAGAATTGCTTTGATGTGGCAATGGGCTAGACGCTCGTACTACACGTAATAATTTCTTTCGTCTATCATATTGTATCATCTGTTTCTCTTTCTAATTGTTGTTTTTTATCTCTTCATTTGTTGATCCGTGCAGGCAAAATTAAGACCCGAGGAATATGGTAGGACAAAGAATAGCAAACTCTTTACTAAAGAGATCAGCGTTTTCATCGGCAATCAATGTGCTACCAAACGAAGCGGCCGCCACAACCATCGATCCACCGTTGGCGGATTTTCGAGGCCACGTCAAACCGTACTCGGAGGTACCGGGGCCAAAGGAACTGCCTCTGATAGGCAACAGCTGGCGGTTTGCACCGTTGATTGGTGAGTAGGTTGACAATATTTGAAACTTAAGCATGTTTAATGGAGTGATGCTTGTTTTTGAGGCTATTTATAGCATTTCTTCATTTCTTCTATTGTATGCATGTTGTTAAAGCAACAATGTCAGTTCCAATTTTTGTTGTCATCAGCATTATGCCCATGTACGTTGAGACTTCAAGATAATTTGTTTCAATAATTGATTTTGGAGCTAGTAAAAAAAAGACATTCAGTTAAAATTGACGGTTATAAGCCATTTCTTTCTACTCCCTATATCAAATTTGAAGTAAAATCGGTTCTAAAATATTGCGAAAACAAATTATCGAATATCTAATTATATTACCTCTGTACAACATTCATCAATAGAATAATTTATTACAACCAAATAGAAGTATAATAATAAGTAACCAAACACTACACAAGCTTGGAAATAAAACAGCTTTGTATGACATATAAAATCCAATGTGAGTGGGTTTTTAAATCATGTATTGTAACTGATTCGTTGGAGTAAAACCTGTCGAAAGAGATCATGCCTTACGCAATCGAAATTTATCCTGACCACACCCAATACATTATTCGTTGACCTGAGCAAACGTGCCAAAAATGGCATTACATCTCAATTAACCGGGTCACAATTTCATGCATCGTGGGGAATCTGTCAACAAGAATATGCATAAATTTGTGTCAGCATGTCTCGCGCTTTGCTCTTTTCATCACAGACCCAGCAAATGTGATTGTTAAAAGGCAATAACATTTACATCATAACCAATGTTGACTACACTGGCACCATGGCTCATGTAGGGTGCGAACATAAGGAGGAAAACGGGGATGAACATAATCAATCAATTGATAGCAACCAGTTTTTACACCAAACGACCCGTCCTTACCGTATACTCGCAAGTCATGATAAATTTCAATTATGGGGACATTATTGCGTGCAATTATTCACGGTATATTGTTGTAGAGATTCGGTGGTGCAAGGCAGTAAAATACGTATAGAATTACACGGCGTTATCATTATGGTGATTTAATTATATAGCTTCCAAATCAATTCACGATATTTTAATGTATTCTTATTAACTCACAGGTTTTATTATGTCATGATTTTATAAAAGTGTAACAATGTCAGTATTAGAACAATAAACTCATCATACTGTTTTTTCCCATATTTAGTACTGCTTTTTGCTGTGAATTTCATACAAATTAGCAATCATGATTTAACATTATTTTGTAATAGTCAATGGATATGAAAATTTGATCAAATCTACCAATTTATTGAACTTAGTGTGCATAAATTACCAATTATCCAAAAAAAAATGTGCTATTTTTCAAAACCATAGCTTATTTCATTGCAAATTTTCTTAATAATGTTCATAATGGAACGTAACTAATAGGTTAAAAGACGGCTTCGGCAATACCTTATTCTATTATCGATTGTATTGTATTGTATTGAGAGCTCTATTTTGGCATGTGGATGCATTGTGTTTCGGAGCATGTTGGCCAAATTTGAGTTATCTAGGGCTTTGTTTGTTTTGTGTTTCAGGCATGTGGAGTAGATGCACAATACAGTGTTGCCCATAAAACAGCTGATTGATCATGTCATAAATTATCAACTTCTGAAACAATTAATAACTTAATTTGACGTTTGGCTGACAACCGAGCTTGCACAAAGTATGCACAAATATGGTAAAAGGCTAGGTGATACTAATAAAGTTTAGTTTTTCCATAGTAATTTCCGAATAAACTTCAAATGGATTGTGCCGAGTCAGTTTCTTACCAAATGATGTCAACGACGGGTGATTATATTCGATTTAATTTTCCTTGCCAGGTGTATTAAGAAAAAATCTTCATCGAGACGGACGAAATATCTGCACATGTCTATACCGCTACTTTCAATATTTGTGACCGGGGTGTGGTTGTGTTCAGATATAAAAAATTGAATCTTTACAGAAGATTCAAGTTATGCGAACATCATTTGATTTCAGGAAATCTCGTAGTAGTTCTGAGATCTTCGTAAAATTTCAGAGATTGATGCACAACTTCAAACAATTCAGGTAACTTTTTGTCGAACTTCAGGAAACTTCGGCAAACTTCAGGAAAGAACTTCGTAGAAATTCAGGTAACTTTTGTAAATAATCAGAAAACTTCGTATAAATGGGAACGTTGTACATGTTTGGGGCACTCCGTAGAAGAAATTGGAACATTGTTTAGTTTCAGGGACCTACTTCAATTTTAGGGCACTTCATTGAAATTTGATGGAATTTTAATACTTCACGGAATTCTGTACAAGCTCAAGAAACCTCGTGAAACTTCGCGGAAAATCAACGAGAATCGTTGAAGTGCAGCAAACTTTTCAGGAGAAATTTACGTAGTAATTCGAGAAACTGCGTAATACTTCATAGAAGATCAATCAGTTTCGAAAAAAAGTTCAGTACGCTTCTAAGAACTTTAGCGATCTTTGTTTCAGTATAGGGAACTTCGTAGCTGTTTGTCAGAGATCTAACTTCAAACAAGTTCAATGAACTTCCTGATTTTTTTTACTCCGTTTACAGTGCCTTTCCTTTAGGCAACACATGACTTTAATCTTTTTTTTTCAATTATAAAATTCATCGAACGCATTATTATATTCGTAATTTTACTAGATCATTCCTTATGAATAAGAGATTCTTGGTATTTTATTGAGAATTGTATACAAAGCACGAAAATTGAATAAATTTCAAGAAATAAATCGGTGATAAGGTCGTGTTACCTAAACGGAAAGGCTGTATCAGATGCTGAATCATATTCGTAAAAAATGATGAGGGTTTTCCGGATGTTGGTAGAATGAAGAGAGCTTGGAAAAAAACATTAAACTTCGAATATGTACAGGGAAGGAAATGAGGAAATTTTCCACAACTTAAGGGAATTTCGCAGATGTTCACAAAATGTTATAGAAGCTACAGAATATTCTCTCAGATATTCTTCCTAGGCGACAGGTTGTTCAGGAAGTATTGAAATGATTTCCAGATAGATGAAGATTTCAGTTAAGTCCTCTGAATATTTTCTCAAGACTTCATTATATTCTGAAGATCTCCAATAGGGTGCCTTTTTTTGAAAGAAGTACTTGCAATCTATTGGGCCACCCGCCAGTTTGATTTATATTCCCAAAATATGCACCAGTGCACAAAATGGTAAAGATTGATAAAGGTGTAGAGGTCACCCAAATGGTTTTATGTGGAGATTTTGGAAAATTACTATGGGAAATTTTTATATTTCACTACTATCGCTGTTGGTTCAAGTTATTAGAATACTGTCAGAGCTAAATATGTGGTTGCCATGACCAACCTGACGTTGTTGTGGTTAAATTAGTGTTGTTGTCAGGCACATGTTTATCTTTCTTGAATTGCTAACATACTGTCAGTTGTTGGTTATTGTTATAGCAGCCACATATTCAATTTTTAAAGCGCTTAGATAACTTTTTTTTTAAATGAAGCACCCTAATCTTCTACTGTTCAAAAAATACAAATCACGTCTCTCTGAAATTCTTCCAAGAAAGCAGACTGGTCAGAAAGTATTCAAAAGATCTTCAGCTGATCGACGATTTAAATAAAATCCTCTGAATATTTTTAAAGCCTTCAGGTTGATCAAGTTAATTATTTTGAAAGTCTTGAACCATACATTCTAATGCCATTTCTCAGATATCTCTCCCACAAGAAGTCCTCAAGGGATCTCTAGCTTATCGACGATTTAAGAGAAGTCCTGTAGATTTGTTTTCGAGAAATTATTTGCATTATTCATACCTACCATGAAAAAGGAGCTTCATTTTTGAAGTCAAAATATTTATGTGTATAGCAGAATTCTTCACTTGTCTGTTTGAAATTCAAAAAGGCTTCGGAAGTCTTCTTCATTTTCAACATGCCTTCAAACATCTAAACAAAACATGAATGTCTTCAAAATGAATGCAGGAAAAAATGTATTCTCAGAATTTAAAAAGGCTTCAAAATGAAGACACATCTTTAAATCCGGCATCCCTGATGGAAGGGCTACAAGCTCCAACGATTGAAAACTGTACGGGCTATGCACTTGCAACTGGAGGGGATAAGAAGGATTGTTAGTTTTGACACTTACTTAAGAGAGATACAAAGAACTCTACGACCCCTCATTAGTATCCCTGCAAGGGTGGGATTTTGTTAGTAGGGAGGGTAGCCCTAGCATACGGTTATTATCAATTTATCAAAGTTACGATTTTTTCAAGTGAATTGATGTCACGACCATCTGCTTGTTGAGCTATAGACCTCGGTGCACTGAACCACCGATTTTCGAACCCGGTCAATACCTACTTGTAAAAACAAAATCTAAACTATATAAAATCGATTTTTTTAATAAGCAAAATGCAGCCATCAACGCATAGATTGAGAAACGGTGACCCAGTTATAATTTTAAAACATCTATAACGATCAATTGGAAATTTTCTCGACTTCCCTGGGCATAGAGTATCAATGTGCTTACCACACAATATACAAATTCATGCATTGGTATTGGCATTGAAAACTCTCAATTAATAACTGTGGAAGTGCATTTAGAACACTAAGTTGAGAGCACGCAATAAGCTAATATGCGCTAAGCAATAAGCTTGAAATGCGAATAAGAAGAAGAAGAATGACGATCAATTTTGATCTATAACGACTAAATTGTCTCATGGCGATCATTCCATTTGATTATTTTTTGTGAGCTAAATTTAAATGCTTGAAAACCAATTTTCGACTTCGATTCCACCTCAAGGTTAACCCATCTCCAATAAAATTAGTTGCATGCTAATGTTTTGCAGGCGTTAACTGAACTGAAAATTTTCGACATGTATGCAAAATACAACCAGTAAGCTGTTAATAAGAAAAATCAAATGCCATGATACCAAAGCACCTCGTGGCCTTGAAAATGAAATCAAAACAGAACAAATATCCGCTAATTGAAGGAAAAAACATGAACCCTATTAACATACATTCAATCATGTTTCATTCGTTCTCGCT